TTACTCTTCTGCTGCTTACAAATCCTTTCTAAATACATTTTCATATTAGGTAGAGTTAAAACACCTCTACTTGGTTTATTCCAGTGTTCATTTCCTGTTGGTTAAAAATATCAACCTGTGAGCTTTCCTTTCTAGAGAATAACTGTAAGTCACTTATGAATTATTAGGCTGAATTGGTTTAGGTTTCACTGAGATGACTCCCTTCTTTTTATTTATCAGTTCCAGCAATGCTAATCACATAGCAATATAGCTCTGAGCAACTTTTCTATAAAAATATTTGCTTCTAACAAAAGTAATATGCTGAAAATAAATCAAGTCGATCTAGATGGCCTTGGCCCACCGAAACACACTTTGGTATACGAGCTTGATAAGGCTCAAGACCATATGTAACAATGCTGATGTTAACTGTTTGCTATATAACCCTAGTAAGAAATAGCCAAGCTAAAGTCACATAGGTTTCTCTGTATGTGGAGGTTTTGTTTAATAGTCACTGAGGAAAAATACATGACATTTTACACTCTAAACACACTTCCCTGGGAAATGAGAATTGCTGTGTAAGATTGTAGTCTGAGCAATGATGGAGCAACTAGAGAAACTGGAAACATAAGAAATCATTTTGATTAATGAAAATCATGTATGTTATAGACCTTTCAGAGAAAAATAAAAATAAACCCTTCCTCTGTATTTCTAACTGTGAGTTCATGACTAAACCCAGCAAGACAAAAGATTATAATTTAACAAAGGTCATCATTCCTCTGTGCTGCTACTTTTCACCTTAGGATAAGACAACAAAAAAAATTATGAATGTAAAATATTACATTTTTAAGTGTCCAAACAGCCTTTCACCTCAGCTGTATTCATCAACGCTACCCACAGCAGACTGCATTTGAGAATCTCAAATCATTCTCCTTCCAAAAAAGGTTCACAGGCTTCTTGTGAGCTAATAAAATACTAGGCATAGTTATGAATGGAAAACATGTCCTCAGACTTACATAGTCTCTAAATTACCAGACTAATGTTCACTAATAGCTTTGTATACATATATGAAAAGATGTATAAAATTAATGTTGGTATTGAAAATGAATGGCATTTCTTTAGAAAATGAAACCTTCTTAAAATTTTAAACCAGCAACAAGCTCTTAACTCTTGGCATTCAAAAGGCAGGATCAAGTGACATCATGTTCTTCTGAAACTTAACCCCTGTCCCTCCTTCTCCCTGAAAAAAAACACCTAACAGCGAAGCTTGGCCTGTAAGTCTAAGTTTCTCAGAGTTCTGCTTCTCATGGAGTTCTAAGGAAAATAAGCCAGATCTCCTGCGCAAGGCTCTTGCAATTCCTCTTCAATATCATCAACAAAAAAAAATTCAAATTAAAAGTGACAGTACACTAACATCAAAAAAGCTTGATGCTATCAGAAACTCCTTTTCATGCTTTTCCTCATCTTTGGAACCAGAATGAACAGGATGAACAACTTAAATCAGTGCTTAGATTTGCAATGTGAATTCTAGTGTGTTCACTACTTGTTTGTCTGCACTGCTAAACATTATCATGATAAAAAAGAATTCTACTCTCAGCCATGACAAGATTTACTATCAATTAGACCCAAAATGCTGTTCTCCTAGATCTTTTCTATTACTGGGTGGGCCTCTTGTCTTTAAGCAGCATTTTAGAGACATTAGTGTAAATAGCATTTTAGAGAGGTTAGTGCTAGTGCTCTTCTCAGCCCCTCACACGCAGGTATGCAAAGGGGCATCCTCTGAAGCCTGAACAAAACCAGGGCAGAATCTTTTCTCATACATAGATAAAAACAATAGTCCCCTTTCTTAATTCAGATTTGAAACATAGCCATCATCCTCATTTATTACAAAGGCTCAAACTGACAGTACCATCTGAAAAATTGCCATAGAGATAACAAATTCACTCAAAATATTCTTGTTTCCAAATCAATTATTGAACTTACACATTAGTGCAGTACAAGCTGTAATGCACTACTACACTCTTAATAAAATATGTCAGTGTTCACAGTTTTAGAAAACTCTGTTATGCAAGTAACAAATCTACTAAAACTAGGCATCTCAGCAGCATGTTTTGTTACTGCAATATCAAATGCTTCAGTAAAATCAATAAATCATAAAATGTTCACTGGGTTTAATAGAGCAACATAATTCTTTATTATAAGTACTAGAGATCCTTTAGCTATTAGTCATCATTATTACCCTAATTTATTAAATTAAATACCTACTATATTGCGGTGATCAGTGATACAGTAATATTTAACCAGCACTCCATGTATCGATAATGATAAAATCTAACTTTAAGAGTGGAAAATCTAAAAATATTGTTACAGAAAAAAATGGCAGAGGATGACATACGATAGCCTAATCAGATTTGAAACAAATGAGACTGATTACTTTTAGAAAAGAGAGCCCAAATGCAAGGCTGAAGAAAAAGCCCTTGGTCAATCACAAACATTTGCTGTCCTTGACACAGGAAAACTGTTCTAAAACTTAACTTCATTGTCATAAAAAACTGATGGGGTTTATACTGTATGGACAAGCACTAATATAGGAAAGAGACCCCTGCTTTTCTATTTCTTCAAAGCTAGACTACAATATTAATCATACTTCTGTCAGTCACTAAATTTTAGCTCAGAAAAGAAGTAAGAAGAAACCCCTAGAGTTCTAAATTCCTTTTATAGATGGTCTTTCTGTCCTGTACCAGGAGGTCTCTGATTTTTCCCGTGTTCCAAATGGGAAAAGCTTGAGGCTATACTCTGAGGAACACCTAAGCAGCAGTCACTGGCTCTGCTGCTGAAAGAAAGTTCTGTATGTCCTGTCATCCATGGAAACAAACAAATGCCAACATTACTAGAAGGAAACAAATGGGTATATTTTTCTAAACATTGTCAAAGCAACATTCAGATTTTAAAATTCAAGTTTTATGAAAAAATGAATGTTGTCTTTTCATATTTTTAACCATATTTCATAGTATATTCTACTTGTTGAATACATCTTCAAGTAATAAAGGTAGCAATACGTTACAGAGATGGGGTGTCTTACCCTGGAATTTCACACACAGGGATTTTCCGCAGTGGGAACCAGCTCAGCACAGCTGGAGCTTTGTCACTGCTGTTCATCTTCTGAGAGAGGCACTCTGGGTCTGAGATCCCAAAGCTTGAACTCACTCAAGCAGACAGCAAGGACCTACACTCTCTGAAAACTTCCAGGACTTTTTCTTTCCTGAAGCCAACCAGCAAATCCTTTCACCCTGCACCCATGGCGACTTCCAAGTATCTTCCAAGTCTCTGAACAAATCCTCCACAAAATTCCCTCCTCTGCACTCCTTTTAACATGGTCTGACTTGCAATTTGTCAAGAGGTGGAAGCACAGAATCACAAAGGCGTGAAATTACTTGGGTTGGGAGGAACCTTCTTCAAGTGGGAACCCCCACTCAAAGTGGGTCCAGCTTGATCAGGTTGCTCAGGACTGTGACAAATCAACTCATTTACCTCAGCCTCTCCTTGTATATCATGTGCTCCAGCACCATAATCATCTTGGCAGCCCTTTGCACAATTCCAGTATGTCAATCTTTTTCTTGCACTGGCAAACCCAAACTGGACATAGTACTCTAGATGCAGTATAAAAATGTCCAACAGAAGACAGGAATCACTCCCCTCGATTCACTGGTTATGTTCTTGCTAACACAGCCCAACACGTGATAAACCTTCTCTACTGCAACAGCACAGTGCTGACTCAGGTTCAACTTGCCCACCATAACCACAAGGTCTTTTTCTACAAAGTTTCAAAGCTTTGGAAGTTGGCACATCTTTGTATAACTCTGGACTCTTCCTCACTGTGATAAACATATGAAATACCAATTGAAGTCCACACCTTGAAAGCTAATGTCTACTGCCACTTAAAAGAGTAGCAGATAAATCAAAACTAACATGAAATGACTCTGAATATCAAGGGCAAGGCCAAAGCAATGAGAAGATCAGGGAGTCTTAAGTTTTCAGGTCAGGGGAAATGAGTGTCTTAAAAACGAGACTTTCCTGCATACAAGGAGAGAGCTATACTTACTATACTGAGCTGCACAGGACAAAGGTTAGACCTGTATTTGTTATAGGAGTTTGTTCATGGGATAGGATTTGCCAATTTCCTGCACTAGAATAAAGAAAAGCCCAACTTGAACTGCAAATCAGTATATAACAATTGCATTTATCTATTTCCAAGGAGCATTAAACACTATTTTAGAAAGAAAACACAGAAAGTATATGAAAAAAAAAAATGTATTCTGACTGGTCATACACAGCAAGGGAAACACTTGTATCCACTTCAGCCTTTTAGTAACAATCATTTCTAGTAGGACAATTACTGAGGAAAGAAATCGTTCCCACCGGTGGGATTTGTCATAAGGAAATTACATTCCCCTAATTCCTCCTCTAGTGCGTAAGTACCTTGGAAAACTTTCTTCCAAGTGCTGGGTCCCTTCCAGATCACACAGCTGAGGCAGAAGCCATGAGATCGGGCTGAGCTCAGCCCGAACACTGGGGAATGGCCAGTCCATGCCGCCCGCTCCCTCGCAGGCAAGCAAAGCGAGGGCTGGCCGGGCTCGGGGTGAGCCTCCGCAGTTCACGTGTTGATGACCATAAGTGACGGAAAATAGCTACAAGGAGACTCCGTTTTGCTTCCAGTTTGGGACATGATGGAGCGGGCATTCACCTTTCAGTGATTAAGTCAGCTCACGCTCAGTCACCACCTTGGCTGCACTGCCATTTTAATAATTACTTCTTAGAGGTACGATGTAATGCCTTCGGCTCCAGTAAAGCTCGAGTTCGTAACGGATCGCTCAAGAGGCCGCCTGGGGAAGTCGGCGGAGTCGCGACAGGGCGCCGGTAGCGAGGAAGTGCCGGGAGTGCCGCGCGCGCAGGGGCGAGGGGAGGCGAGCGGGCGGGTGTGGCGGCGCGCGCGGGGCCCCTCACGCTGCCCCGCGGCGCGCGGCCGGTTTGGCGCCTGGGCGCTTGACGCGGGCCGCGGCGGAAGCCCTCCCGCCCGCCACGGCGAGGGCCCGGGACAGACCCCTCGGGCCGGCGGGGCAGTTCCGTATCCGCGCCGCCTCTCCCTCCCCTCCTCCCGCCCTGCGGAAGGCGCCCGGGAGCGCGGCGGGTGAGAGCCGCCGCCCGGCCGCGCTGCTCCTCCGGCGGGCGGCTGCCGGGGCGGCGCGGGGCTGAGGGCGCAGCTTGGGGCAGCTCCGCTTCCTACCGCTGGTGAGTGGTCGGGGCGGCCCGGCCTGGCCCCAGCGGGCGTCCTCAGGCGGCCAGGGGCCGGGGGAACGGAGGGGAGCGCGCCCGTGAGTTCCTGTCGCACCCCCGGGGCAGCGCCGGCAGCCGGCTCCGGGCTCAGCCCGCCCGCCCGCTTCTCCGCCGGGGCTGGGCCGGTTCTGCAGCCCCAGCCCTGACTCCCGTTTGCCCCCTGGGCAGAGGAGAAGAGGAGAGGCATCTCACGGGCTGACTGCCTCGCCGGGGCCGAGGAGGGATTTTGGCAGCGGTAGGATCCTGCCGAGGCGGTGGGGCAGGGGGCTCTGAGGGCATTGAGAGATGGGGAGCAGAAGCAGGGTTTGCTGCTTTATGGTGAGCTATGACCCATGCTGTCAAAAAAGATTATGGCGTGTGATCTAATTTACACCAGTAAGCTCTTGTGAAGAGGTTTTGTTGTAACTGACTTATAACAAATGCCCAAAGTGGATGTGATCACATTGTCATGAGGACACATAGCTATTTCTGTATGTGAGGTGAATAATGTACCGGTATCTAAGTGTTATGTGTGATTTTCATAAAAAATAAAACACCTGTAATTGAAATAGGTGTCTTTAAATGTGAATTTCAGGTACGGGTTGAGTTGACAAGAGTCTCTGACCACTGAAAAACTGGTGAAATGTTGATAGCAGAATGAGGAAATGGACAGCAGAGTCAAATGGGAAAGCGTGCAAGCCACTTACTTTGCTTGTCTTTGTCAGAAGCTATGGTATTTCCATTGGTGACTGAACAAGCACTGTTCAGATTTTAGTAGAATCTTGCTGCCTACATAGCAGAAAGGAAACGAAGGAGTGCAGGGAGAGCAAGGCTAGTGAGAGTGGTTGACTGAAATGCTGTGATGTTGCAGCTGTAGAAGCGTGTTAACATGATCTGTTGTCTTGCCTTTCTTCAGTCCCATTCCCAAACCCTGAGTTACTTTGCATTGTTCACATTGAACACATAATGGTTTCTTTACAGGCCTGGTGTAAGGAGTATGAATATAGACTGTATAGAACAGGATTTAGGCATATAGAATAGAATCATGGAATAATTCAGATTGGAATGAGCTCAGGAGGTCACTGAGTCCAACATCCTCCTTGTAACCCCTTGGCATGGGGCATGCAAGCCTTCTGACACATTGACTCCACCTTGCCATTTCTGTAAGGTTGACTGATCTTCCCCAAAAACATACTACATGGGGATCAATCAGCTTGTTTTGCAGTGTAGGTGCAATCTGGTTCAGAATCTGCGAGTTCTGAGACCAAAAGCCAAGCCATCTTAGTTGTGTGAGGAGGCTGGGATCTCTACTTTTGTGCAATTTTGTGTGGATATAGCATGTGATGGAAAATCTGGAAACTGTAGAAGGAATAGAGGAAATTCGTCAATTTTTTCAGTGTTGCTGAGATGTTACCTGACACAGTGTGTTCACTGCATTTCAAGAGGATGTGCTGCAAGTGGCACACATCCAGGAGAGAAAAATGGGAATATTTAGAAGTGTTTGAAAATATGATCTAAGAGAAATACTGAATGCAATGGAAAATGGAAGACTGGATGAAACATTAATTTTCAATTATATAAGAGGGCTTATGTGCAGATGGAGGGAATAACTTAGTGGTCCTGGAAAATAGGATGAGAAGTAACAAGCTTAAATTGCCAGTTATTTGTGAAGCATAAACTTCTGAAGACTGAAACATGTGTCGGGGCGATTATGGAATTTCAGCTGATGTTGAGACTTTTGAGAAATGCTTGCTAGGGATAATACAGGTATAGTTTACCATACTGCAGGCTGGGGAATGAGCAAGTGACCTAGTGAACACCAAGCAGCTCTGAATGCTTATCTTTGCCTTCCAAATAGAATTGAATCTAGCTGGACTGCAGAGATTGGGGCTTCAGAAGATGAGAAACAGGTGCCTATTTAGCTTTGAAAGTGAGATGATAGATAAACCCTCTTAAGAGTATTTTTAACTAGCTGAAGTTAAATGGAAGCGGTGGAACCAATACAGCTGTAAGTTTCTATCAATCACATATTTATCTTTATTATGAACAAAAGTTTTCCAGTGTAACTCATGGTCGACCTATGCTGACCTGAGTATGAGAAGTCTGAAAAAACAGCATTGGACAGTTAGTGCTAGCTCTCTGCATTTTGTTTAGTGTTCCGTCCAATGTTGTTTCTAAATCTAATGTGGGGAACGCTCTTACTTTGTTAGGGATGGCAACTTGATGATGGTGTTTTCAGGCTCTGAAACAAGAAGAGATATTTAAAATAGGATTTAATAAACTACCATAATAAAATTTTTATATAATACTTTGCATTTGCAAAACCATAAAAAATAAAGACTTCGGGTAAGAGTTACTCTGTATATTTGGTTTTAAAATTCAGTTCTTTGTTGTAGGGCATGAAAGATGGAGTATTCACATAAACATTTGAGAGCAGAATAATCCATGGCTCTAAGTAATCGAAAGCAAGTAGAAAAGCTGAATAAAATAAAGCATACTTCAACAGAAGAGGAGATTTTATATGGTTTGCAAACTAAAGATCATTCTCTTCAGCCAAGTACCTTAGATATAATCTGCAAAAGTAAAGATTATGTCAGAAGTGTTTTCTGCATCACATGTGCCTTCAGTGCTAACTGAAAACTGCCACCACTAGTGTACTGACCAACAGTCAGAACAGTGGCTAATACAGAATATTCTTTTGGTGTAAATGTTGATCAAAATATTACTCAAGAAGAGTGTCAAAATCCCATGCCTGAGATAATTTGCAACAGAAATTCAGATGCAAACCATTTTTTAAATGGTGGATGTTTAAAATGTATACTTCATAGAAGTTATAATGATGTAAACATACCACCATCAGCACCAGCTGAAGCGCATTTTTGCTTGAGTGTGAGGTGACTGCCCATTGATCCCATGGGAGAGTGCTTCTGTGGGGAGTGCAGTTGACAGTGATAGTAATGGTAAGAAAACTAACAATGCCATTACCATTCTACAAAAGGTGAGCATAAAACATGGAACAAAATCTGGAATGAAAAATTCATTCCAGTGTTAAAAAAAAAATACATTAAATGGATGCCTCAAAAAGGGAAAAGAAGATTTTTCTGGTTTAGTTGCTCCCATAAAGACTACAAGAGACAGAAAGATTGCAGAGGCAGGGCGTAAAGTGTTGAGTGGAAATGGCAGTTCAAATACTTGGGAAAACGCCTAAATACTCCTTTAATTTCTCTTCCCCTGGAAAAAAGAGGTTTTGTTAAAACTGATTCCTGTGGGTGTTCTGGCTTATGCAATTCTCTGTTTCCTACCTAGGGTAAATGTTTAAAAAATAGCCATGACTTATGCTTAGCTATGAACCAAGTAGCATAGCAGGAGAATTGTTGCACCAGTACCAAGACATTAATTAGATGAAATAACGGTATACTTGTAAAACATGTGGAGGTATCCTTATTTGTCAGGTTCCTGGACATTTACAGTTAGGAGGAAGAGTGTTCCTTTTTCTTGTTTACAAGTAGAGAGATTCTCTCCTGTCTTGTATAGACAAGAGAGTTTTCTTTCTGCAAACTGCCCAAAATAAGTGACAATGAAAAAGCAAATATTACCGTAGAAGACAATCATACAAGCCTAGCTGTTAGAGCTGGAACAGGCAAGGTTTTGTTGGTCTTTTTGAAGTGGAGAAGACGGAAGTGGTTTCAAACCACTGATGGCCTAGAGAATGAAGATATTCTTAATAATTGCTTTGTTTAACATCTCGTTGTCTTAAGAAAATCACACTTCACAGATATAAAAATGCTGTACAGCTTTCAATAACAACTGCAATAAGCATGCTTCCTGCAAACTCACATGGATTTTGAGTTGATATAAATAAATTCTATTTAGTCATATATTTTTAGTTACCATGTTATAAATTCAGAATATTTTTTTTTCTCTTGAATCTTTGTAATGCTCATGAAGTATCTTTTAGCGCATTGTACTGTGTTGAGTAGTTTATATTTCATGGATACATAAAACTATATGCTTGCTTTAAGGGGAAACTTGCTAGGATGATATAGACAGTGAATTTCATAGCTACCCTGTATTGTTGCTGCATGTTTTGAGTTACTGTTCAAAGAAAATTAAAGTATAGGTAGCTAATTACATTCTCAATCATTTGAAAGGTATTTGTTATATGTAGTCCTAATTACCTTGTTTTGATTGTGTTTGCTTAATAGTACTCTGTATCTTAATATTCTATTTAGAAAAAGAGGTGGTTTTCATGTTTTGCATTGTAATGGTAGCTCAGTTACATTTCTAAATAAGTAGAAGTTCAAATTCCCTGGGAGGTCAGTGCCCTCACTAGCCTATTCGTATTCAGCTCATTGGCTTTTACATTGTTCAGGGGTGGGGAGTTAGTTCCAGCCTTATCGGTTACTTCAATAACTGCATCTACTGCTGATGCTACTGCTTGAGTCATGATCAGTGGAGTAAAACAGAAATACCCTGTTCTGCTTGGTTGTAGTACAAAACACCTGTTGTACAGTCATAAAATACTTGTTAAATTTGTATAGCATCACAGTCAAGTAATGAGTCAGGAATGCTGTTTGGAAAGATCAGTACAATCTTTAAATTGCAGGTGCAAGATTCTTCATTGACTAAAAAGTATTACCTCATTGAAAACCCTAGAGAATAATTTCCTCTGTGTCATTTTTCATTTTAATAAAAAGAGAGGTAGGAGGAGAGACATTTCATTTGCTGGTAGTAAGAAGGAGTGTTTCTAAAATGATGATGGTTCTGACATGCCTTTGAGGCCAGCTTCTCAGCTGATAAGGCTTAAAGAATCCCTTATCCTGGGAAGGGGCTTTCTATGATATGCCAAAAAGCTCTTAGGTAAAAGAGAGATGTGAGGCACCGGCCCAGAATAGAGTCAGAAAAGCCTTCAGGCATATTTCATTGTTACTTCAGCAGAATAAAGTTTAGTAGTAAGAAAATTAATATCAGCAACCTGATCCTGTTTCTGTCCCCCTCTTCCCTCTCTCCATGCTTTTGTTTGAGTTTTTGGTTTCTGTTTCTTTTTGCACAAAATACTGTGTCCCAACTTTATTTCAATATCAAATGTTGCAGCATATGTAAGGAAGAACATCAGTGATTTGAGTGATACAACTCCTCCCTCCACTGCCCTCAGCTGTAATTATTTGTATTGTAATGTAGAAAGAAGTTTGAAAGGTTGATGGTGGTTTTTTTTTGGTTTTTTTTTTTTTTTTTGGTTGTCAGGGAGCACTGAAAGGAAGAGGGTAAGCTCCGTAAGCAAAGCAAATACCCAGTGTAAATATATTAAGATTTCTGATGAAATCAAGAAAAATACTATTTGTACAATGGCAAAAAAGGAAGAAAGTCTTTTGGGAAAGGTAACGTGCAGTGATTTGAATGTTTGAATTGTTGTTTTATATGTGTTTTAAAACAGATAGAATCACCCTGTTTATAATTAAAGTTATATTTTTGGGGAGGGCTGATGTTTTAGATTAACAATGTTGGTAACTGTCTTTCTAGGGAAGAATACAAATGGGTGTTTGGAGGGGAGAAAATACTGAAGTTATTTTGAATGCATTCTCTACTTATCAGAAATTTTAAGTATTTTGATTGCTACATAAGACAAAATTTACATATGCATGCATCTGACTAATCTGTGTTTTAGGTGAAGTAATATTTGCTTTGTGAGTGGATCTGGATGTAACTTTTTGAAAGCGTGTCAGACTGCAAATGTGCTCCTGCATTTGATAATTTGATTTAGACAATAGGGACTTATGGTTCTTCCAGGAGATAGAAACAGGAGGAATTACTCAGGGGGATAATGTTTTCCTTTTCCATTTCTGAAGAATATCTGAAAATTCTCCTTTAGTTTCTTTCCATTTTAAGGAAGTATTTCTTTATCAGCTGCTACTGTTAGAGACCTAGGATAAGGAGCATAGTGTCTAAGATGGATTGGAGAACTCTGAACCTTTTATGCCACTTCAGTTAAGGGAAAAACTGTCACTTAACGTTCAGTTAGTCCAGTTAGAACAAATTTCTAAGTCAAAGAACTAACAATTAAACACCAATCAGCTGTCTTGACATTGCTATAGTACTCCTACTGTGTTCAGTGGGAAGCATGATTTTACTATTCTGTGGATTTTTATTAAATGTATTATAACATTTACTACTTAGAGCATTGAGATGACTGTTGTATGTCACTGAAGCATTTGAATTCCAGCACTTTTTTCCATGAAAATTAAATTGAACTTTCAGTCTGGTGATACCCAAAGTCTGTTACCCCTGTGATTCAACTAGTCAGTCCCTGGTAATGCAAAGGTACTTCTGGGTAGAAAGATGGGAGGAAAGTACTAAGGAGGGGCTGTGGACACAGCACTTAGGTAGTGTTTTGTGCTATTAAGAAGGGATGAAGAGCCTGACTTGGGTGAAAAATTGGAAGTTCTGGCAATCATCAGGATTGGAAATAAATATTTGTACACACACAATGTTATAGGTAGATTAAGGCCAATCACATCCAAATATGGATTAATGAATCTTTATTAAGGTAAGAGAGCAAATGCAGCGCTGGGGTGGCCAAGGAGTCGCAGCTCCATCCAGGCTCACCAAATTGTTTAAGTTTCAAACTCCCTTTTATCCACCCAGCTGCCGGTTTCAACACCTTCAGCACGCCTCCTGGCTTCTTCTACAATCTTATCTTCTTTCTTCAGTCCTGTGGTCACGTACACCTTGGCCTTCAAGTCGGGGCCAGTTTGCAGCTCCTTTGTCTTTTATGGCTCAGTGGTTTCAGTTCCTCTCTTATCTCAAGGACAAGGGATACCAGAGATGGCCCATTCTGTTCTTTCTCATTCCATTGCAAAGGAGTTACCACCCTTTGATATGGATCATCTGGTGAGCATCCCAAGAGGAGGGGCTGTTGGGTTGGTGTTTCCTCAGATCAATTCCCCCCTTTTCCCAGTAGTAAAGTCTTTTACTTTTCTTAAAATTTGGATCATTGTACTAATAATAGCTTTAGCCTAAGAAGTAATTTTTTAATTACTTTTAGCGAAAGCAAAATTCTTCTATTACTTATCACGCACAAGAACACAGGTGCTATGAATTCATTGATCAGATGACAGAAGTCCTTGGGAGAAGGGGAATTTAAGAGATATTCATTAGACAGCAATTTCTACTAGTACAAAGCTTCCTCCTGTCTGCATTGCAACTGGAGAGGAAAGACTGACAATTGTAGAAGGATATCTGAAGAAGGGAAAAGAGGGAGAAAGAACAGCTGTATAGGAAAACTATAGTTAGTTCTCAACTGATGGCTGCAGTGAATGACCATCAAGACTGAGGAATCTGGTCTTGTGTCATCAACATAAATATCTTCCATATTGAGCAGTACTGTAGCACATCAGTATCTGTTCATCGATATCTGTGTTGGAGACAAAGTGATTTCTCTTTCAAACTGGGACCCAAGACAATACTTTGTTCAAGGCATTAAGATTGAGAGTATTTTAAAAGCCTCAACATTCTAGTAATTATTAGGTATAATAGGAAATAAATACTTAAAGAGAATTAAAGAAGATAAACTTTCTTTTCTCTTTTGCTTCTTATAAAGAGGAGGGAACTATTGTGCTGTTGCAAGAAAGCAGAAGCAATTTAGTAAAATCCTTGAATGAAAGGAATGAGTTTGGCAATTTGTTTTTATCATGGAGGCAGAAAACAAGTACTCCATGTAGAGAAAAATGATCAGGAATTTATATGTTTTTTAATGGAAACTTTTTTTCAACCTAGGAAATCCATTACTTGATTATAAATTCTTTGTTTTCCTGACATTAAGATACACTCTCGGTCCTGCTGATACAGACCTCTTTTCCTTGTATTTGGTGTCAAGGAGACCTGTCTGGATGTGTAAAATCAACAAATAATCCTAATAGGAATAATTAAAAATATTTGTAACTTATTTAAAATGTAATCATTCATGTTCATATAGTCTTTAAGAATAGTTTTATTTCTTAGGATAACAAGCTTCACTTGCTCATGAATACCGTCTTCTTGAAAGCAGAAATCTTGCCTCAGCAATTTTTGATCATCAGCTCTGTAGAAAATAAAATCCTATATTCTGTACATAGAGAAATCGTAAATGTTTAAAAAAATGTTTAAAGTTTTTACTAGTGCACAGGTAGTGATTAATATAGACATACTAATTTTACCTCTTTAAATTCTAGAAGGAAGGTATGTTTTGACACTTCCTTTATGCAAAGTGAGTTAAGTCCAATGGAGAGTGTCAGTGTACAAAATTTTATGTTTTGTACTTGCCAGAAATCGTGTATAATAGAAAGAAAATGACCCTACTCTCCCGAAACTTAGCTAAATTTTAAACTTGGCAGCATGTTTGCATTGTCATTTCAATATTTTCAGATTTGAAACACAGCTTTTCTTTATTTTAGGTCAAAGTTATGATTGGTGAACGGATGGATATTTTATATAATGACTTCTTTAATCAAATACTAGAAAATTTAAATAGAAGAATTGAACAAGTACAATGCAAAAAAACCCATGAAGAAATAGCTAAAATGTTCCTAGTAAGTTTCTTTTCATAACGGTGAATATTTTGCTTGTGTGTCACATATGACTATTAAGCTACCTTAGGGAAAGACCTAAAAAGTATGTGATCTTTTTCATCTTGTGTGACATAAAGTTAATCGTACTTCTATTTTTAGCCTTTGTTCATTGTAATTGTTTCACTGTCTACTCTTCATATGATAATAATATAAAACTTCCTTAGTTCAGGTGAACGTGAAGTGTTTCTTAACCCACACTGTGTCTCTTTTCTGTTGCAGAAGAAAGTATCAAAACTTGAGAGACGTATTAATGCTGTGATAGCTTTTCAGGAGGAACTGTTTTCAAAAATGGCTGTTGATCAGGTATGATGCAGATGCATGTGCTAATAGAGGCATTAATGCCTGGTTGTAAATTAATAGATGACTGGATGTTTACACTGAAACCTGATGACTGACAGCTGTGTTGCTGTTGCTTGTATTAAGAACAGAAAAAAAATCTACCAGGAGCTCTTAAATTGATCTTTTGAGAATTTGTTTGTTCTTAGACTACAACATAGTTCTTTTCAGTCATCATGATTAAAGAAACTCAGAACAGCACGTAAACATTACATATGTTGATGACTTTAACACTGGAATTTTTCTAATGAAGGGTCAGACCTCTTTATTGCCAAGTCAAAGCTACTTACAGCATACTCTCCTCTTTGAGTTACCTTTCATCAGCCATGTAGTTATAGTCTACCAGTTGTATAGGGGCCATGAACTGCAAGTTGAAAACCACTTCCCTAGGCAATGAAATTGAAAATATGATAGAGTAAATGAAAAAGTTAGTAACATAGCTATTCATAGATGAGCATTTTTCATGGGAGATATTGATGCATTAGTGCTAAAATTATAAGATTACAAACCATCTTTTTTTGTGGAGACATTTGATTCTTATGAGGAACAGGAATTTCTCATGTCCTTAGCATAATCATATTTTACTGTGCTGAAATTCTTTTAGCTAATCTTACGGGAGAAGGAGTTCTGTGAACTGTCAGCCTCCTGTTTCATGCTTACTGTATATTTCATGAAAAAATCTCACTTGCAGAAATACGCTTGTTTAAAAGAAATCTTTACAGTCTTTCTGTTCTTTCACATCTAAAAGCATAAAAGAATTGTATGTGAGAGACATGCAATCTCTTTTTGTTAAAGGCTTTCACATGTTTTACAAAATTAGTTTCATAACTTCTTGGTCTCTTAAAACAAAACAAGGTCAAGTAAGATGCTTACAGGTCTCAAAATTTAAATAAGTGTTTGGGGTTTTTAAAAAGAAGTTAAGCTTCAAGGAGAAAAGAAAAAGTGCTTTGGTATTACTGTGGATTTAACATTATTTTCTTTTATTGTTGTGTTTAAGTATACCTTGATTACTTTAGCACTTTTTGAAAAAATGCCCAGGTTTGTACTGTAGGTTTTATGACAATGCAGTATTTGTTTTCTCCTTTGTCAGACAATGCTTCCAAGTGCAGACTATGAAAATGCAGTACTAAGCCAGCTTGGACCCTCTGCTTTCTGTCCTGATACCATAAATATACCAACAGGTTCTTCAGATAAACTTTTGCTATCACCTTACACTGGTTTCACTGCAGGACATGTTTCAGAATATGTAAGGTTTGTATCTAGAGTTGAATAGTAAAATGTAGTTAATGTCTTCATACTGCTTTAAAGCATTTATGAGAAAATTCACTCTTTCCCTCAACTTCTTTATTTGTGGTTCTAATAGTTGGATTTAAACTCAGTTGTCATTAGGTGTCCTGTGCTGTTGCTGGTATATCCAGTTTATCCACTGAAGCTGAAGCTAGATGATCAATTCTTAAAGTGCTTCAAGGTCTGTTAGGTTCTGCTGATTTCTTACTGAATGATATGAAAAAACAATAAATCTCTGTAAAGGTATTTTAGTGGTCGTAGAAGGAAAAATCTTCCAGGTAACTTCTTAGTAGAAAACAAAAAAATTATCATCACAAATCCTATTTCCATTATTAGGACACTTCTAGAATGAGAGAAATACAGAGTCCAAAGAAATAATTTTATTTATTACAAAATTTTGTAAGTATATACTGAATAACACTAAATTGAATTCTAAACAACTTTTTCTTCTATAAGTAATTCCCTAAACTATTTTAGTTTGATATTCATGTTAGTGTTCCACCAGTTACAAAAGCTCACCCTGTCTTCAGTCTGAAGCCATGAACGTATGCAGGAAAAAAGAGGAAATCTTTGGATGCTCCCTCACAAAACCGAAAGTTTTGGTTTATTTCTGTCCTGAGACTGAGGATTGCACCCATTCTCTGGCACTGGTTGCGTATTTATCACCTCTGGAGCAATGCTCTCCACTTGCAGGGTCTTCCTCCTGTGTTATATCCAGCTCCCAGCAATGGAAAGGTTGGAAACCAGATGTGCACCATTTATTTTTCTTCTGTGTTATCTAATGGGATTTTTTGCACCAGCTAGTAAGAGAATAATAACTCACTTTGGTCTCTCTATAGGCAAAACCAAAATAATTAGCTTTATAACAAAAATATTATTTCTTGGGCATGGACACATTTTTATTTCCTCAAATAGATATTTTATATGCTGTCTTCTTTTTCTTATATTTTCCACTTATTCTGTAGTACTGAGAGAGGTTTGATCAGACCTTTTGTTACTGTTGTGATCCTGTAAGTAAATAGCTGCAAGACAATGTAAAACAAAGACATTATTAATACAGTCAAAAATGAGAGACAGGTTATCACAGAACTTCTTTCCTGAAGAAATTTTGTAAGCAGACAGAAATCAATCCTACTCAGATTTTTCTGTGTCTGGATTTTACTACCATTTATCAAATATTTTTTGTTACAAATCAGAAATGTAACCAAATTTTTAAAGTGCAGAAGCAAGGTGAGTACAAAAAAAATACTTTACAAGTTGCAGAAATCCTTGCTTATCTGGAATCTGGTTTTCGAACTTGTGAAGAAGCCGCTTATCTGCTACATGATGTTGTTTTGTTGCTTTACTTAATCTGTCGGTAAATCCATTGTATCTGGAATAGTATGGAATTTTATTTATGATTACAGTCCACCTGCAGTTTATAAATTAATGCTTCCATCTCGTGGTAGTTTCAAGTTTTTCTGAGTGTTTGCAGTCACTATGCCCAGTTCACAGGTCTCACTCATAGTGATTGATAGGCACGTAAAAGGTTTTGTAGGAATAATGAATAAAAGGGATTGCATCTATTATTGCATATAACCTGCCAATTATTTGTCTGTTGTTTACACAGAGCAGTGATTTATGAATGTGGAACTGAGTGATATGGGACTGGGTAAGTATGACAGTATGGTCTGTACGTCCAGGTGCTGGGTGAATTTCCTTTTAGCACAGGACTACACACAGCTGACATTTGCATGGCTGACACCAAGTTTCTATCTTCAACCTTTGGGTTTCATTGTGAAGTCAAATTATATTATTCAAAGCATGCACAAGATTTCCTAGCTTGCTCTGGAAGGAGTAATCAGTGTTATTTTTCAGTATGTTCACTTCATCTTGTTTTTTATTGTTGTTTTTATTATTATTATTTACAGAAAAATGTATTAATTTGTTTTTTACTTTCTGAATATCGAAAGTAATCTTTGCTTATGGCAAAAATGAAATTGGCAAAGAAAATTTGCTGGTTTGTAATTGAATATGAATCAGATCCAGAATGTTAATTTGACACAGCTGGAGTAGTTTGGTTATAAGTTTCTTAATTGTAACCAGTAATCAACAACAGAGTATCCAGAGGAAAGAAGGTAAGAGCTGGCATTTGTGTACTTGAAACTATCACAAAATGTGGCTGATTCCATTGTCTATTTGGGGAAATCTTCTACAGTGAGTCTACTCTGTTAAATTGCTGTTCTTTTGATCAAAACAGATGCAGTAGTTCTAATGCATCCTGGGTACTTAAAATTTCCTCTACTTACACAATATCATTGTGGCCAGCATCAGGAAAGCCTAGACAAGTGTACCACAATACGAGCAGCACATGTCTAATAAATGTCCCTGTAGCCGATGTTACCTTTTTCTCCAAGTGCAATTACATTTCATATGTTTCTAGTCCCTCTTAAACCGATGTTTCATACCTCAGATCAAGTGGATTATCCTAGCCATTAATACATATAAAAAGTCTGCAATTGATGGGATCTTACAGTAGGCATCTGTCACTGATTTCCAAACCAAGACAGTAAGGCCAACAAAGCAGTATTTGGGTCACTTAGGCAAGCTTCGGGTCAACAGAACCTGGTTCTTACAGGTGACTTCAACTACCCAGACATTTGTTGGAAGAACAGTACAGCAGCTCACACGTTATCCATTAAGTTCCTGGAATGTGCAGAGGACTATTTCCTCATGCAAATGCTAGATGTGCCAACCAGGAATGAGGCACTGCTGGACTTGTTACTCACAAGCCAAGAAAACCTGCTTTGTAATAACTCAGTAATAGCCTTGGCTGCAGTGATCGTGATACTGTGGAGTTCAGGATCCTGCTGACAAGCTGAAGGTTAGTACTAAGACAAAGGTTTTAGATTTTAGAAGAGCAAACTTCAGCTTGTTCAGAACTCAGTTGGGAGAGATTCTGTGGAAGCTTCCATAGAGGATAAAGGAGCTAGTGAATGCTGGGAGTTTTTCAAGAATACTTTTCTAGAAGCACAAAACCAGTTCATCCCCTTTAAAGGTAACAGAAGTAGGCAGAGCGATAGACCCCCTTGGCTTAACCATGAGCTCCTGAGTCTGCTCAAAACCAGAAGAGAAGCGTACCAGTGATGGAAAAGTGGATGAATACCTGTTGAGAACTACAAGGGCGTTACCAGGGCATGCAGAGGTGCAGTTAGAAAAGCAAAAGCTCAGGTCAAATTGAAATTGGACAGAGACGTCAAAAACTACAAGAAGGGGTTATTTAGGTATGTAAACAACAAGCAGGCAGAAACGGAAGGAAAATATTGGCCTGCTGTTAAACAGGAGAGGTGACTTAGTCACCAACAACGCTGAAAAGGCAGAGGTTCTCAACGCTTTCTTCACCTTTGTCTTTACCAGCACTGTTGGGCCCCAGTTGGGAACAAAAATCCAGGTCTATGCAAACACAGACCCACTGTCAGCGAAGGGTCGGTATGCAGACTATTACAGGAGTTTGACCCCTACAAATCAATGGGCCCTGATGTTATCCACCTGAGGGTGTTAAGAGAGCTGGCTGATGTCATTGCAAGGTTGCCCTCCATCTTTGAGAAGTTGTGGAGGTTGGAGGATGTCCCGGAAGACTGGAAGAAGGCCAATGTCACCCCCATCTGCAGGAAGGGCTTAAAAGAGGATCCAGGCAACTATAGGCCCATCAGTCTTACTTCAGTCCCTGGGAGACTCCTGGAACAAATCTTCCTGGGAGCTATCACAAGTCAAATGAGGCATGTGATTGGGAGAAGCTAGCCCAGATTCACCAAGGGCAAGCTGTGCTTGACAAACCTGATCACCGTTTACGATGAAGTAACCTGCTCAGTTGATGTGGGACAAGTGGTGAACATTGTCTACCTCGATTTCTCCATGCCTTCCAATACAGTTTCCCACAGCCTCCTCCTGGAGAAACTGGTGCATCGGGGTGTGGACAAGGGGTCTGTGTGGTGGGTGGGCAACTGGCTGCCAGGCCACACCCAGAGGGTGGGGGGAAATAGCTCCTTTTCAAACTGGCAACCTGTCACAAGGGGGTCCCCCAGGGATAGATATTGACCCCAGCACTGTTTAATATCTTCATAAGTGATCTGGATGATGGGACTGAGTGTACCCTGATGAAGTTTGCTGACGATACCAAACTGGGTGAGGAAGTGGACGCTTCAGAAGGGAGAGCCACCCTGCAGGGAGACCTGGCTGGGCTGGAAGAGGGGGCTGACAAGAACCTTAAGAAGCTCAACAAGGACAAGTGTGAGGTCTCGCACCTGGGAAAACATCATCCAGCAGTGCAGCACAGGCTGGGATCTACCCAGCTGGGGAGCAGCTCTGTGGAAAGGGACCTGGGGGTGCTGGGGGACAACAAGCTCAGTGTGAGTGACCGGTGGGCTGCAGCGGCAAAGAAAGAAAATGGGATGTGTGGCTGCATCAACGAGGGCATCACCAGCAGAGATAGAGAAGTCATAATCCCACTCGACTCAGCGCGTGCCAGGTCACACCTGGGACACTGTGTTCAATTTTGGACCCCGCTGTGCAAACAAGCTGTGGCCAGGCTGGAGAGGGTCCAGGGGAGGGTCACAAAGGTGATCAAGGGCCTGGGCAGCCTGATCTGTGAGGAAAGGCTGAGAGAACTGGGTTTGCTCAACCTTGCAAAGAGAGACCTTAACACCATGTTCCAGTATTTAAAGATGGAGACTCCCTTTTTACAAGGAGTCCCATGGAAAAGACAAGGGGTAATGGGTACAAGTTACTGCTGGGAAGATTCCAATTGGACATGAGAAAAATTTTTCACAGTGAGAACAATCAGACACTGCAATAATCTCCCCAGGGAAGTGGTAGATTCCCCAACATTGGACACTTTTAAAATTTAGCTGGACAGGTTACTGGGCCATCTTGTCTAGACTGTGCTTCTGCCAAGAAAGGTTGGACCAGAAGATCCTTGAGGACTCTTCCAACCTGGTATTCTGCAAAAAATCCAGTGATGCGAAAAATCTGATTTAAACAAATATGTTGCTAAATTCATTTGATAATTACTGTATTACTTGAAATAAAACATAATTTTCTAAACTGCCCCATTGGTGTTGTGCCATTCAGTTGGTTTCACAGTTTTGTTAACAGGTATGTAGCTTCAAGAGAAATCTGAAAGCTCTTTTGTCAGTGGAAGAAATTTGCTGCTGATTCTTTGTGGGATAAATTAGTATCCTTCAGGTGTCTGTATGAGTGAAAGATTAAAATCAGTGGTTACAGGGATTCAAGATAGAATCATTCTATTCAAGTTTCACCTAATGATAATCTAGCTGGACTAAACTGAAGCAATCTTCCAGTTTTCAATAAATTTTCACTTAGTGAATTGTTTTGTAGAGGTAAGAGTCTTATCCTGAAATTAACATGTCTTACAATAGGAAAAACCCACAGTGTGTAAAGAAAAATCATTCATATATGAAGTAAGGATTTTAACAAGGCTGTCTTTTGATATGTAGAAAAATAGCATTTAAAGCTTGCATCTTGTTTGCAGGCAGAACAGAAAAAGATCAGAAATATTTCTCAAACAGAATTCAAAGCCGGTATGCCTCAATTAAGGGTTCTTAAACCTGAGAGAAGACACATCAAATGAGGTACTCTTTAATTCAACTTTTGTACAGTATTAATTTTTAAATTGTGGAGTTGCATATTGCAGGATGGTTTAGAACTTGATGGAAAGTTAGACTCTTTAAAGACCTTTTCAAATGGGAAAGGAACAATGCTTAAACAGTTGGGCATTGAAGGCACTTCTCTTTCGCCACGAGGAGGCTCTATTGTAATGATATTGGAACAGTAAAACGTTTTTCTGTAGAAGTAAGCCAATAAGTAATGCCAGGAGATATCGTCATTACAAATAAACACATAAAAAACCCTAACCTCAAAACCTGTTTCAGTTGTCCTTCCCCCTTTACCTTGTTTTTCCTTTGCTTTGTCTTTTTCCTTCCCTTTCCTCCCTTCCTCTCCCAATCTGTCATGATTAAAAATATGTGAAAGCATTATTTGCTGACAGGATTTAAACTTTTACCCTGCAAGATTTTAAGTTCCAAAACAGTATTAATTCCTCAATACAGATACTTTAAGCATAGTTAAGATTTTTCTGCTGAAAATGTTTTACCGAAAAATAAATAAAAATATCTGCAGTAATATAAAAAAAAACTTCTCAAGAAAAAGAGAATATGGCACCCTTTTTACTCATTGCTGATATATATTAAGAAGGTTGAGCCCGCAAAGCAGTGCATGCATGTTATATTCCTACCCTTTCCTTTGTAGCAATGTGTGTATATCTGTTTTAAATGTTTTTTGTACTTTTAGCATTTATGACAGCAACATAACTGACTTTTTTAGAAATACAGTTCCACTTTTTGGTGTTTTTTGAAGAGAAATAGAACACTAGACTTCTTCTCCAAGAAGCAGCAGTAAAATAGACTAAAATCTGCACCACATGATATAGTTCAGCTATCATCAGGATTGTTTCATATCTGTTGAAATTTATTACAGCAGTTGAATTTCATGAAGGCACCTGTAATTTTATTCATCTGTGCAGTGTATACCTGCTTTAAAACTAAGTAACTAAGTACATGCACAGGTTTGTGGCTTTTTGGCTGAATTTATCAAGGAAAAACAAAAAAAAGAACACACGCATCTAGAAATTCAGTTAGTGCAGTATTGATCCAAAGTAAACAAATATCCCTTTAGGTGTAATGGAAACCTCTTCAGCACTCCTTTTGGTAGCACACAAGTTGTTCTATGTTACTACTAGTGTGTAAGGAGTATTTTCTACTGTGGAGAAAATCTTACTGGACAGATAAAAACCAAACATCAGCAACATGCTGAATATTAATACATGAATATCAGGTAATCTGAGACACTCTACAGACAGTAATAATCCAAACGTGTATATATTTACATGAAGGTAAGTCAATATGAATAAAAAGGAGTGTAACTGGCTTGTTATTGTTGTTTAAATGTCAACTGGTTTTGTGTTGGTGCCTAGACTTTCAAGCAATTTCCACATCTTCCTCCACTGCCAAGGATCCCTCTTTGTCCAGAGCTTGCTGAAGAATTCAGTGCAAAATCCATAGGGGATTGCAGTGTCATGGACGCTTACAGAAATTGATCCAAAGCGTGCTTCCCTACACAGTGACCACTTGTATCTCTTCCATGAAAATCTTAGTAAATATTCTGCATCTCGTTGGAAGAAAATGGGCAAAAGAAGGGCTTTGGCATGTTCGGTGCCTTCCTGTTTATCACAGGTTATCATCCCAAAGAAGTACTACTTTGTCATTCAGTGAAAAGATAAATGTGGATGTTAGAGAACATTTTGTGATGTACAATCTGTAACTCCTTAAAAAACTCTTCACGAGTCGCAGACTACCTTAACAAGCGGTCTACTACTGTTCCACTATTAAGTACTATACTGCAGATGGTATTAATTTCCTTATGTTACCTGCTTGTTACAGTCTGTTATGAACTTTGTTTCATTAATTCTGTAAGATTGTTTCTACAGCCTTGAAAATGAAGTTGTTTTTAGAACTAATTTACTTCCACATTTTACTTTCTTTCATCTTACTACTTCAGAGGGGAATATTGTACATATGAAAGAAACAAAAAATATAATAAAATTTTCAGCTTCATTATTTTATTTCAGTGGCATTGATGAACCATTATTTTAGGGATCTTAGCTCTCTTTAGTGTTTGGAAAGGTAGTGGCTCATCTTACTCCTATTTTTAGTAATTATAGAAAGGATTCTTTTGTTTGTTTAGCTAAATGGCACAAGCTTCCACAATGCTGAAGATAGGACAACGCTGCTGTAGTCCTTCTGTTATTTTGAAGCTATTAAGAACCATGTAAAACAAAGTGTTGATGTAGCTGGAGTAATGAAATAGTTAATGCCTAAGCAGCACAGTTCTTGTCACCTACAATACATTTTTTAAAAAAAGAGATCTCATAGCAAAGTAGTGCAGAACTTCATTTTCTCTTGTCCTGGATGGAATATATTAAAAAAATACCTGTTTTTTTAAAAAAAGTATATTGGCATAAATATTCTAGATTTGTTTTCCAATATTGTTTCCTGTACTTCCTTTCAGATGCTTACTTGCTGGGTAAAAAATGTCAAGCTGCTAGTGAATATTTTGATAGTTGAGACTTTTTTTCACTATGATTAGAAGGCAGAAGTTTTATGGGGTTTGGGAAATTGTTTCTGGAGAGTTGGAGGGGTTGCTATGGATTAATTTGTACAAACCCATCTGTGTTGTTATCATCTCAGTGCAAACCTGAATCTTGGACCAGAGCAGTTACAGAAGTAACTGGCCTGTTTCTAACATTATTTTCTCATGTGGTCAAGGCACTCAACCTAGTCTTAAATACACAGCTGTTTCTGCAAATGATGAAATAGAAACCTTACAAGTAAACTACTTTTCAGAGCATCTGTGGATCTTGCATTACTCAGTAGCTATTCTTTTGACATCATACACTTAAAAGTTCAATATGCTAATATTTTCCCTGCTTACCCTGGAAGGTCTTCAACAAAGGACAGAAATAACCAGCTTGTGGTTCTCGTACAGGCAGGAAGAATTTAATTTTACCTGTTCACACAAATACTCAACTATTTCTCATCCAACATTGTGTAAATATATCCCAAGCTTAAAGAAAGGTCAGATTGCTAAATGTATCAAGTTTGCTATTACAGTACAAGAATTTGTTTTATTTTCATGTACAGTTTCAGAATATATAGAGCATAGAAAATGGTATATTTTAAAGGCATATCAGGTAGAAAGAATATTCTAAAATATGTTTGTCCTGTTAAAACTCTAGTTCAGACTGGTTTGGGATTTGTTTTCTTGGTATGCAGAACATTCCTGTCTGTTCTATGTGGCATCATGCGCATGCTACTGTTTGTACACTGCAGTGTGCGTGCTTTTCACTTTTCATTAAAGGGACAGAGCTTCTACTGTGGAATTAAGCTGTGTGTTCATGTATATATACATCTTTATTTTAAATATTTGCTCTATAAATGACCCAGGCATTATCAAGGCAAGAAACTGAAGAAGCATCTCCTCAAGTCAGTGGCATAACAGCTTAACTTGCAATTTTACAGGACTGTCTTCTAGATGTAAGATAGTTTTAATCCGTATTTGCTGAAGAATTTCCCTTACCATTTCATGTTTGAATAAAACTGGCACAATGCCTAGCTAAGAGTCTATCTACTTTCAACCTTAAACCTGCATCTGCTTATTTAAGAAAAATTCTTCTTGCTAGCAAAATTGAGGTTTTGAATCTGAAACATATTCAGCAAACTGTAGAAACACTTTTTTAAAAAGTAGGATAATAATTCTTGACATTCAGAGCATTCTCACTAAGAGAACAAAAACCTGACAGAATACTAGCATCATGTTAGACTGGTGAGAATGCATTTTGCTCAGATTGATTTGGGTTTTTTGCTATTATTATTACTTCTAATGTATTGTCCTGCTGACTTGTCTAACTTCTCAACAGTCTTGTTGGCCTTCCTTTGCTCCCAAAAGACAAACAGTACATGCCAAAGCATTTTAGGATGTTCAGGGAATGGAGATGGAACTATACAACCTATTACTCATGTTGGAGACAGTTCCTATACAGTTATTCACCTTAACTTTTACTTTGTGAGAAATCAAAGATGCATCATCTGAAGGAATGGGTCAGACCATCAGCTGATGTATAATGCAGTATCAACTTCAGTAGAGCTACACTACTTTGTAATAATGAATCTGTTCTACATTAAGTGTAAAACCTCATTCAAAACCTATTTACTTTTTTATTGTCTATGCATTGGGCCAGCTGTAGTGAATATACTGAA